AATGAGCAGTCAGGGTTGATTTCCTTTAAGATTGACTGGTTGGACCTCCTAGCAGTCCAGGGGACTCTTAAGAGTCTTCTCCAGCACCACAGTTCAAAGGCATCTTCTTAAGTAGCCCATTTTTATTGTGTTCAGCTTATTTTTTTATGTTTCTCCTGACATGCCCAACATTCACTTCCATATATCATAACAGGCAGGACAACACTCTTTCCACAGTCATTTTTGCCTTTCTCAACAAATATTTTGTAGACATTACACCAAAGTACATGAAGTCATCTACTTGCTCTAATTTTTCCCCATTTATGTATAATTTGCAATCATTCACTCCGTTTTCCTTGTCACTCTAGATGGATTCTATCTATCAACATTTTTCCTACTATGTATAATTTTGATATACCAATATGATCTCTTCTATTACCCATCTTCACTTCAAACTAAAAAATCCCAGACATTATAATCTTTCCTCATAGGGTAGTTTCTGTAGCCCATTAATCATCTTGGTTGCCCTTCCAGCTCTATTAACACTGTTTTGCAAGTGTGACGACCAAAATTACAGAAGTGCTGATTGTAGTGCCCCTTTCAGGATAAAAAAGGAACCAATCCAGCTCCTACTCCAATATTGTTTTGCGAGTATAGTGGCCAGAAGTATGCAAGAACTCCAAAGGCGGAGTTGCCATAGATTTCTGTATGATGCCATATTTGGAATTATTAGAAATGGATGGGAATTTGTGTAAAGGTATTGCTGTACTTATTTTCTGTCCCCTTCATAATCATTCTAAGAACTCTAGACCATGGTTCACTATAAATGATTTCAAAAATACTTTGAACTGGGCCTTGAAGCCAAAAGAGAGAACGTCTTTATGCATATCTTAGATATGCCTTGTGGATTTTCCCCCCTCTCTGACCAATAGTCTTACATGTGCCCCACCAGCTAGAGAGCTAGACTGGTGGATATTCAAAACAGGGCCTTTTCATTAGCAGCATCCTGATTGCAGTGCTCCTCCAGGATGAAAATGGAGCCAATCCAAACTCCATCTACAATATTGTTTTGTGAGTGTGGTGACCAGAACTACAGAATAAGCAAAACTCTCTTATTTTAATGTTGCTCTCAAGGCATGTTAAATGATTTTGGCTCCCTTATTTCTTGGATTTATTGTGAGTTTTAATTGTTATTTTTATTGTACGTAGCCCCGGGCACCTGATATGTGGGGGAGCAATTTATAAATGCAATAAATATACTAAATAAGCTGCTATCAGTTGCAAAGAATCTAGATGAATAAGACTGGGGGATTCTGCTTAGAAATACTAGCACAAAATTGTTCCTAATATAATAGACAGCAAAGGAAGTGTTTACATTTATTATTGTTGGTCACACAGCCAGATGCTTAGACTGGTTTTGGCATTTTTATCCACCTATTGAGTCCTTCCCAAGAACCTGGAATAGGCAGATGTTGTTTGATGGCGTTAAAGGTATCATCACAGTATGTAAGCTGTTCCAAGTAAAGCTGCTTTTTGTAACTGACTGATGGTGGTTTTGTCTTTCTTTGTTCAAATGGTGCTC